GCCCTTGCCGGTTTGGCTCAGTGGATAGAGCGTCGGCCCGTGAACTGAAGGTTCCCAGGTTCAATTCCGATCGAGGGCACATGCCTGGATTTCGGGCATGATCCCCAGTAGGGTACAGCCAATCAATGATTCTCTATCATCATTGATGTTTCTATCTCTCTCCCTCTCCCTTCCTCTCTGAGATCAATAAAAATATATTTAAAAAAAAAAAGACAAAATGCAACTGGGTAAATCTGAAAATCCAAATGGCTTTAATTAAGTGATTCATGAATCAGGCAGCATCCCATCTAGCAACTAGAAGGTCACTCCAATGAGTTGTACAAAATGGAAGGTGTTTATAGACAGAAAGAGGGTGGGACTATGAAGTTAAAAGGGTGCATTTTTTCAGGGCCAGGATACCTTCCAGAGAATCTTATCAGGAAGGTTTTCATAGGAAGCAGGGTGGGGCAAGGGAGTTATTGGGAAAGAGAGAAAGACTTGTTTTTAGGCCTCTTGCTATGGGTTGGGGGTTGGGGACTGGGCCCACATGATAGATTACCTTACTGGTGCTTGCCTAGAAAATTCCAGACTGGTTGATTGTATTTCTGAAAAAGGTTGACACTGCAATTATGTCACGTATTAAATCAGGTTTGGTTTTGTGGTAGGCAGTTAGACAGACATGAGCAGAGAGCAAGGATGGTGGGCCAAGTACAGAAGGTCACCAGGATGGAAAACTCCGGGTGCCTAGCAACGGGCAAAACAAAGACCTCGCCCCGAAGGATAACCTTTCTTCCCCGAACATATCACTGGTCCTGAGGTTTAGACCTCCTGACTTTTCAAATCGCTAGTCATGAGGCTCATCAGACCCACCCCTGACCTTTCCTCCCCTGGCATGTTGCTCATTATGCAGGTTAGACTTCCTCAGAGGGAGAATGAACAAAGGGGCCGGAGAATAGTCCTTAACACTAGAAAGACTGAAATTTAGTATACACCTATAATGCGCAAAAGCAGTCAAAATGACTGCATTGTGAAAGAATAATATCGGAGCACTCTTCACTTACGTTCCTTAGCTTTTCCAATAACTCACTTCTATTCGACATTTCTTTCATGAATTTAGGGCGCAAAAGAAATAAAATAAACAACTTATTTTTTTTTTAAATATATTTTATTGATTTTTTACAGAGAGGAAGGGAGAGAGATAGAGAGTTAGAAACATCGATGAGAGAGAAACATCGATCAGCTGCCTCCTGCACACCCCCACTGGGGATGTGCCCGCAACCCAGGTACATGCCCTTGACCGGAATCGAACCCGGGACCCCTCAGTCCACAGGCCGACGCTCTATCCACTGAGCCAAACCGGTTTCGGCATAAACAACTTATTAGAACAAGTATCACTGCATAAAGATTCGAATAACAAGTACTAGTTTAGCTTATTGAGCAACTCATGTACTTGTATGTTATCATGTGATGGTAATCGGAAAAAAATGAAAACTGTTATTTCAATACAGAGCCGAACTGGTCATATAAGAAATTTACTCAATTCAATAATAAGAGTTAAAATCCCCCCCGCCCCCCAAGCAGTCAAAATGACTGCTTTTGGGCAATATAGGTATAACACATACCGGAAATGAAGGAGGGGGAGGTAACTACAATTATTAATAAACGCATTTATATGTTGTACAAAAAGTCACAAAATTCTAAGACATTGTGTCCTTATATACATAATTGTTTTTCTAATTGAAATTAAAAAGCAGTCAAAATGACTTCCTTGGGCAATCTAGTGTTAAGCAGTAAGCTCCCAGGACAATGAGTTTCTGACCTGCATCAAATATGTCTAGGCCTCAGTTGTATTTCAGCTCCAGGCCCAGAAAAGCAGCTATACCAGACAAGTGATGCCATGGCTGATCTCAGGACCAGCTGCACTGAGTAATGACTCCCTGTCCTGGCACCATCCAATCAGTAGAGACCATGACCCTGAAAGGACACACCGGCAGAGCTGATGAGTATTCTATTGGGATCCTCCCCTCAGACCTCCAGATAAATACCCTCAAGCTGGAGGACCCAATGTGCTCCCTCCCCCCAGGAGTGTTCTCCTTACCTCTCTTTTTTCCTAAGCTCCACTGGCCTTTCTTTCGCCTCTGGAACTTATTTCCTGAGCCCCTTTCTTCCACAGCTCACGTATTCTACCTGACTTTCTAAATAAACTTTCTCTTATAGTTTGAGTCTTGACTCTGAATTCTTTCTTAGCGAGAACTCAAGCACTGAGGTTGCTGAACTAAGGTCCAGTCTAACTCCACCAATCTAACCTAGTGCAATTTCACCATCAACAGTATCATGGGCTTACAGCACCAGTGACACCATTTTACTTTTATTATATATATACACAAACACATACTAGGGGCTTGGTGCACAAAAATTCGTGCACTCAGGGGGGTCCCTCAGCCCGGCCTGCACCCTCTCGCAGTCTGGGCCCCCTCGGGGGATGTCCGACTGACGGCTTAGGCCAGCTCCCCAGGGGACTGGGCCTAAGCTGGCAGTCAGACATCCCTCTAGCAGCCCAGGAGCCCTCGGGGGATGTCCACGGGGAGCAAGCCTAAGTTGTTAGTCGTACATCCTTAGTGCTGCCACAGAGGCGGGAGAGGCTCCCGCCACCACCACTGCGCTGGCCAGCCATGAGCTGGCTTCTGACTGAGGGCACTGTGGAAGCACACTGACCACCAGGGGGCAGCTCCTGCATTGAGCATCTGCCCCCTGGTGGTCAGTGCACATCATGGCGACCAGTCGCTCCCGGTCATTCCTCTATTAGTGTCAATTTGCACATTACCCTTTTATTAAATAGGATACGAGTATATAAATTTATTTCAGAGAGGGAGAGGAAGAGAGAGACAGAAACATCAACGATGAGAGAGAATCATTGATCGGCTGCCTCCTGCACACCCCACACTGGGGATTGAGAACCCGCAACCCAGGCATGTGCCTTGACTGGGAATCAAACCATGACCTCCTGGTTCATAGGTCGATGCTCAACCACTGAGCAACATGATCCGGGCCAGTGATGCTATTTTAGGCCTGTGGTTTTGTTTCTCAGAAGAAACTCAGGTGATGGCCCCATCCAAACTTCTCTCCCATTCTCCCTTCCCCCCCAGCTCAAGTCCTCAACTCCAGCAGGATGCAAACCCTCACTCTGTCCAGGAAGCTTTCATCAGCTGCTCCCCCTTCAGACACCCCTGCCAAATCCTAACTCTTTCCAGGGAGCTGCTCTCTCCACTTGGCTGTTTCTACCATTCCTGTTAGCCCTTCACCATATGCTGCCTTGTAACTGAATCACAAGAGACAGATCCCACAGCATTCAACAATTCCATCCATCGAGCAAGTTAGGTGTCTGGGTTTCACTTTTCACACCTATATAAACAGGGAGCGGGGGGAGGACAGTATAATGGTCATAATCTGAGCTTTGGCGTCAAACTGCCCCAGTTTGTATCCCAGCTCCACCACTCACTAGTTGTGAGACTTGGGACAAGTTTCATAACCTCGTTGTGCCTCAGTCTCTCCATCAGTAAAATGGGGGTTACGATAAACCCCTTACAGTGTTGTTGGTAAGGTGAAAGGTTATCCATGTAAAGTGCTTAAGTCGGTGTTCAGTAACTGTTACCCACGATGACCATCATCTGCAAAGTGGAGCAAACATGAGCCCCTTTCTCATTTCAGAGATGAACTGAAAGGATACAGTGGGATGGTGGTGGGGGAAATGTGCCTACGACTCGAGGAGGGGGAGGGGTCTGCCTGGTAACATCAGGGCTCAGGAGGATGTGTGTGGGCAAGGGGGGTACCCACGCCCCATCCTCCCCCTTTGGCACTTAGCCTCCTTTGATTCGGGTGCTGTCACCCTCAGCTCAGAGTCCTGGCTTTTTGGGAGGTGAAGGTGGATTCCCCGCAAGGAGCCAGATGTGTGATCCCTTCCTCTCTAATAGTTCTTTGGGAACATGGAGTTTGCAACAAGGTTTGCCCAGCTTGAGGGCAAATGAGAAACAGTGAGCCGGGGTTGCCAGCTCCATCCCCAGCAGGGGGCGTGCGGGAGGCAGCTGATGGATGATTTGCTCTCATCATTTGATGTTTCTCTCTCTCTCTCATCAATAAAAATAAAAATAATAATAATAAAATAAAATAGCCCTCGCCGGTTTGGCTCACTGGATAGAGCGTCGGCCTGCGGACTGAAGAGTCCCAGGTTCGATTCCGGTCAAGCTCATGTGCCTTGGTTGCGGGCACATCCCCAGGAGGGGTGTGCAGGAGGCAGCTGATCCATGCTTCTCTCTCATCTCTGTTTCTAAATCTCTATCCCTCTCCCTTCCTCTCTGTAAAAAAAATCAATAAAATATATTTTTTTAAAAATAAATAAAATAAAATAAACACAGACCAGCGGTTCCCCCTGGTTTCCGAGCCTGTGTGTGTTCCGGCAGGCGGCCCGCACTGCCTCCTTCCACCTCCTGCCTCTCAGAGCTACCGGGCCAGCCCCCGGCCAGCGCCTGCCTCTGTGTCTCCGGGTAAACGGAGGTAGGTCACGTTTCTCTGTCGGCGGGGCATCCCCAGGGCAGGCTTCGCCCCTTTCTGGACCCTCCAGGTTGGTGCAGGTCGGCCCGCGACGACGGCCACGTGCAGCCAGGCCGAGGGCTCCGGGACCACCATGGCGGGCGCCCGAGGTCCTCCCGGGCCCCACGGCCGAGCGCCCGCCTTCCTCTCGGTCGTACCTGAAGAACCGCGGCCCGGGTCTCTCTTGCCTTTGGCCTCCCGCTCAGGCTGCGCGGCCTCCCCCACGTCGGTGCTCCCGCAGCAGCCCATGGAGCGCGACGCCCGTGAGGACTCCTGGGCTGAGGGACTCCGAGCGGGGGCCGCGCGCCCCCTGCTGGCCGCGGGTGGTGGGCGTGGCGTGGCGTGGTGGGCGGGGCTTGTGGGGCGGGGCGGGCGGGTGGTGGGCGGGGCCGGCGAGGACGGTGGGTGGGCGGGGCTGGCGCGGCGGAGCGGGCGCTGGGACTCCCGGGTGCCTACCCTTGTGGATTCTTTTTTTAAATATTAAAACGCGCTCACTAAACATAAAAAAGAAAGTGCATAGTGGAAAGAAGAAAATCAAAAGCAGCATCAAAATATGATCGTGAAAACTGCTGTGTTTACTATTTGTTCCCGTTTTCCCGCCTCCTTGAATAGTTTACGCCCAGCTTTCCATTGGACACAGGTATCTCCCGCTTTTCGGAATTGCAGGTTAAGCCACTTCGCTTTCACCAACGACCTGCCTTAGTGCCCGTTTTCACTAACTGGAAGAAATGTAAAGAGCATTTCCGCGTCTACGAAGCAATAACGTTCGGCGTTTGTTTTACAGCGAGCTGAGCATTAGAGAGGCGGTGCGCACCCGGGCACCCGAGAACGCCCCGCCACGCTCCTTCCCTGGGAGCCACATTCAGCATCTCAGGAGCCAGCTGTGGCGGCATTAACTATTTGTGAGCATCTTGCTTCACCTCCATTTATTGTGTGCCTTCTGCTTTTACTATTATGTTAGTGTTCTTCTAGGTTTTATGTGGTATTTGGTATGATTTTGTAGGTTATTTCCGGGGGGGGGGGGGGGGCTAAGACTGCGAAAAAATTTTTTCCTTTTCAATGAATGGCAATTGCTTACAAAAGGTTTCATAGGAACACTCTGCTTCTGGATGGAGGTGGGGGTGCTCTACTAGCATTTTCCACCCAAATAATGGCCTGTCTTCCACCCTCTCCTCAGGTTTTGCCAATGAATGAGACTTACACAGACAGTCTTATTTTAAACAGAAGGCCCTAGCCAGTTTGGCTCAGTGGATAGAGTGTCTGCCTGTGGACCAAAGGGTCCCAGGTTTGATTCCAGCCAAGAGCACATGCCTGGGTTGCAGGCTCAGCCCAGGCCCTGGTCAGGGCCAGTGCAGGAGGCAACCAATCGATGTGTTTCTCTCACATTGATGTTTCTCTCTGTCTTTCCCTCTCTCTTCCACTCTTTCTAAAAGATCAATGGAAAAATATCCTGGGGTGAAGCTTAACAAAAATAAACAAAAACAGAAGCCTGTTCACCCCGTCCTCACCTCCACGTCCACCTCTTATCTTGCACTTCGGTTTTATATAGCACTGACAACCTTAGTCGGTTTGGCTCAGTGGATAGAGCCTTGGCCCACAGGCTGAAGGGTACCGGGTTCGAGTCTGATCAAGGGCAAGTACCTCAGTTGCAGGCTCAATCCCCAGCCCACATGTCCCTCCTCCCAGAATAGCACCTTTGCTTCCAGCCCCCCTGGTTGCAGTGAGCATCATTGTGTTTAGAGCTCTAAGGCTCCCCTTACACATTGTCAAATGGCTTTTCCGGAACGGTGTTCCCCATCTGTACTCCCAGTGGTAATGAACCTGGGAGGGATTTTTTTTTTTAAACCAAAAGCACATTGTGCCACATCAGGTGGGGTCACGGTTCTCCACCAATGCAGTGCTTTGTTTTTCCTTCTTCCAATGAAGTAACATATGTTAAGCATTCAGCCCAAATCCGGCCTTGTTCTAGGGTTACAGGGTGTCTAACCCAAGTTTCCTGCTCTCGATGAACTCCCATCCCAGCTGAGCGTTAGTGAACTTGTCTGGTCCCCAGATGTGTGGTAGTGGTGCAGGCCCTTTGTTTTTATCTGGGTTTGTGGGCAAGCTTGTTTCCTGCTTTTCTTGGGAGCAAACCAGAGGCAAATGCTCTTGAAAAACACTGGGTGTTTATTTGCTTAAATACAGAAAACAAAAGCTGAACCAAAGCCTTTTAAAAACGGACACGGCCCAAGGCCAAAGTGAATCTGAGTAACAACCTTCATCCAGGTGTTTGCAGTCTCTGACAGCAACTAATAGAACTAAGTGGGCCTTTTAAAAGCCAAGAAAAGTTCCCTCCCTCTGTGAGCCAGGTCCACATTTTTCTTTGTTCAGTTCAAATGATTTGTTTCAGAGAATTTTTTAAGAACATGCTGTTCAACTTATGCTAAAATTACTATGTTGTCAGCAACATTCCAGTTGGGGTTGTCTTTTCTTTTTCTCTATTTAAAGCGCACATTTAACAAAAATGATGGCTTTTCCTTTTTTTTTTTTTTTTTTTTTTAATACCTAGGAGAAGGTAGCTGAGAGTCATGTGCTTACCTGAGTCATCCAAACATATACCAACCATCTCTGAGGCACTTAAGATGAGCCGGGCACCCTGCTGAGTACTTTATTCAGATCATTCCGTGTTATCCCAAGAGCCCTATGTGGCAGGGACTATCATTATTATTATTCCTGTTTTCCAGGTGAAAACCCTGACCCTCGGTGGGTAAATTGCTGAGGATCACAGAGCCTGAGACTCCAATTATGGCACAAGGATCTAGTCCCCTCCGCTGTGTCTTGTTCCCCTCGCATCCTGCCTCTGTGGGGCAGATCTGTGCCATCTCTGCCCCCTCATGACTCCCCCAAAACCTGTCTCCATACAGCACACACATTTGACGCTACCTACAGGCCAACCAGTCAGTGTGATGGGACCTAGGACTTCAGAGGAGAATAAAACAAAACTTCCTGCGTCACTGAAATGTACAGGGATTTGGAAGAGAGGAGACGAATCCCTCAGCACACCATGCAAGGAGGCCCTTTAGTGATCTTCCTCTCTCCCTGCTCTCCCCAGAGCCACGTGCACAGTGAAGCCAGGCCACCTTGGGGCCCTGAGATTAGGAAGCTGGCTCAGGTGCCTGCCACCGCCCTTCTTTGGCTAACGTACCTCTCCTCATCTTTCAGGGCTGGGCTCACTGGACCAAATGCTTCCATCATTGTTGCCCTCGGCTGCACTGTCGATACCCCCTCAGCGCAGCTCCAGAAGGTCTCTTCTAGGGGCCTTCCAGGGGCAGCGATGGTGTAGAAAAAGAACAGCTTCACCGTAAGCTTGAGAAAACGCTAACTCTTCCCATCAAAGACTGGAGGTGGCTGGGAGGCTGGGAGGAGCAGAGAAGTGAAGTCCCCCAAGCTACCCTTTGACACCAACCGTGTTTTCCCCACTTATAAAAGCCGGTCCGTGTGTGTTTAATTCACCTTTGTGTCCCCAGCACCTGGCTCAGTGCCTAAAAGAATGAACGTGAACAGCCTATCACATGACATCAATCATCAGTTAGACATTGAAAAACATCCTAGTTGTTTGAGTTTTCTGGTTGTTTGAATTTGCCCTGGGAATTAGATTTTAAAGCAATTTACCTAGCCCGGCCGGCGTGGCTCAGTGGTTGAGTGTCAACCTATGAACCAGGAGGTCATGGGTTGATTCCTGATCAGGGCACATGCCCAGGTTGTGGGCTCAATCCCCAGTGTGGGGCGTGCAGGAGGTAGCTGATCAGTGATTCTCTCTCATGATTGATGTTTCTATCTCTTCCTCTCTGAAATTATATATATATATATATATATATATATATATATATATATATCAATGGGAAAAATATCCTCAGATGAGGATTAGGGAAAATAAAAAAATGAATGAAAAATAATAATAATAAATAAAGCAGTTTCTCTATTATTAGAACTTTTTGCTTGAGTCACACATGCACTCCATGTTCCATTCTAAAGGAGAGTATAACACTGGGTCACCTGTTTGTAGGACTGCCTGTGCTCTAGTCATCCAACACAATGAACTAAGTACGTCAGGCAAGATAAAAATAAATGCACGCTGGTTTTGCTGTGGATGGAAAGGTAGACATCAACACTGCTTGTGGCAGGTGGTTGGGAGATGCACCTCCTGATGCCTCCAGTCAGAATCGCCTCCTGCCTCAAGAAGTTCCCACAGCCCTTGTCCTGGCCACTGTCATCCCAGGTGAGAAGAGCAGAAAAGCAAGCTTTGTCATGAGACAGAACTGAACTTGAGTCCTGCTCTGGCAACCATGAGCTGTCTGATTTTGAGCACGTTGCTGAGCTTCTCTGGGCCTCCACCTTCTCTATAAACCGAGACCTATTTTACTATCTACATGGCAGGGTAGCTATGAAGAGTAACTAAGAGTAAACACTCAACATAATTGGCACCAAGGACACACTCCACTAATGGGTGGTTTCTGCCTCCCCTTGGGAGCTGTGATTCAAGGTCCCCTGAAAAAAAGCTCCAAATACTCTTACATTAGTAATAATAACACATGGGCATTACTATGCCCGTGTTGCAAATGAGGAGTCTGAGACTAACGGTGTTAAATACGTTCCTCTGTAAAAGAGTGGCCAAACTAGAATTTGCTCTCAATTTTATCTGACTCCCACGTTGGTGACAGATGTGACACACTATTGCCTCTGAAGCAACTTCATCTAGTTTATCATTTTCTTGGCCTGGCTTTGTCTTCTGATTCAAGAACTGTTTCCCCTGCCATTTTAATCCTTATTTTCCCCCGTGACTCACAGTTGGCTGAACACATGGTTAGGACTTATTCTTGCTTCAAGAATAGTGTTTTTATTTTTAGAGTAGAGCATGCACAACATAAAATTGGTTTTTTCCCCTGAAATACGAGTTTACACCAAAAAATAAGCTCTCTCCCACCTTACTCCAAACCCCAAATCTGCCTGCCTGGAAGCAACTACGGTTAGTGTTTGTGGATCCTTCCAGAAAGAATCTTTGCATTGATAATGAGGACACAGCTTTACGGTGGGAATTGAGTCCTTTTTCTGTATCAGGCAAATGAAAAATTAATGTCAGTGATTTTGCAAATCAGTCAACCTCTTGGGGGCGGGGGGGAGGGCAGATTAGCCTGAATAAATACTGAGGATTAAGGATGATCAAAAGCCAAGCAGGAGGAAACTAAGATGGCGGCATAGGGAAACACCAAAATTGCTGCCTCCTACAACAACTTCAAAACACAATAAAAAGACAAAACGGACATCATCCAGAACTTACAGGAAGGCTGGCGGAGTGGAAAGTCTACAACTAGAAGGAAAGAGAAAAGCACACTGAGGGTCAGGAGCTGCGGAAGTAAAGTGCAGAGGTACAGAGGCTCGAGAGTGCGCGGAAAGGGGCTGGTACCTGAGGACGTGGCTGTCTTTTTGAATCAGGAGGGAGACACAAGCTCCCGACTGCTCTGAACTGGGAAGTCTCTGGGGACCCAGGACTCATACGGGGAGAAACTGGACTGTCTGGCAGCGGGCAGAACTCGGAACTCGAGGGCGGCTTTACCTCAGAGGTGCTTGCAGCAATTAAATTATCAGGACACTGAGACTCTCGCGGCCCCTTAGGGCAGAGCTGAGAATCCGCCATAGTTCCTTGCTCTGCCCTTTGATTCCCTGAGACCCTGCCCCACCCAGGCTGCGGCAGAGGCTTTTGCATATGAATGCCCAGACCCTTTGCAACCTGAGAATTACCTAACAAACTGCAGCTGGGCCACAGACCCAGAACTTCCAAGAGAAGGCCCAAGGCCCCACAGCAGCTTGCATTGCTTCACAGCTGGGTCTCATCAGGGCACCTCCAAACTCCAAAAAAGGAAGGGGAATCTGCAGTTCTCTTCATAGCTCCTACTGGGTAACCTCCAAGAGCCAGTGTACCCAGTGGTCAGAGGGGGACCATCCAGATTACAACTCCTCAGATCCATAAGGGACACACCCAGGGGGCAGACTCAGTGAGCACCAAAGCCCCACTGAAGCAAGTCTTGTCCCAGAGGTGTGTCTTCAGCACAGAAGTTCTCCCACTGCAGACACAGCTGATTCTCACTGCCAATTGGCCTGGAGGTCAATTCCTCCCAGTGATCCTACAACAATCAAGGCATAACTACAACAAGACTGTGCACAAAGCCCACAAGGGGGTGCACCAAGAGTGTCCACCTCAGGTAACGGGGGAGGCTGAGCCACTGGGCCATACAGGACACCTAGCACACAAAACCACTCTACCAATACAGGGAAGCATAAAAAATGCGGAGACAAAGAAACAGGTCACAAATGACAGAAATGGAGGAAAGCAAACGACTGGATATAGAGTTCAAAACCACGTTTATAAGGTTTTTCAAGAATTTTATGGAAACTGCCAATAAATTTAGTGAGACCCTCAAGAAATCTAGTGAGACCCTCGAGGATATGAAAAAGGACCAACTAGAAATTAAGCATACACTGACTGAAATAAAGAATAATATACAGAGATCCAACAGCAGACAAGAGGATCCCAAGAATCAAGTCAAAGATTTGAAATACAAAGAAACAAAAAATACCCAACCGAAAAAGAAAAAAGATTCCAAAAATATGAAGATAGTGTAAGGAGCCTCTGGGACAACTTCAAGCATACCAACATCAGAATTATAGGGATACCAGAAGAAGAGAGAGGGCAAGATATTGAAAACCTATTTGAAGAAATAATGACAGAAAACTTCCCCTACCTGGTGAAAGAAATAGACTTACAAGTCCAGGAAGCGCAGAGAACCCCAAACAAAAGGAACCCAAAGAAGACCACACCAAGACACATCATAATTAAAATGCCAAGAGCAAAAGACAAAGAGAGAATCTTAAAAGCAGCGAGAGAAAGAAAGTCAGTTACCTACAAGGGAGTACCCATACGACTGTCAGCTGATTTCTCAACAGAAACCATGCAGGCCAGAAGGGAGTGGCAAGAAATATTCAAAGTGATGAATAGCAAGAACCTACAACCAAGATTACTTATCCAGCAAAGCTATCATTCAGAATAGAAGGTCAGATAAAGAGCTTCACAGATAAGAAAAAGCTAAAGGAGTTCATTACCACCAAACCAGCATTATATGAAATGCTGAAAGGTATCCTTTAAGAAGAGGAAGAAGAAAAAGGAACTCTTACCATTTGCCACAGCATGGATGGGACTGGAGAGCAGATAAATACCACATGATCTCACTCATTTGTGGAATATAATGAACAACATAAACTGATGAACAAGGACTGATCCAGAGACGGAGAGGCATTGATTGGACTGTCGGGCCTTGGAGGGAAGGTAGGGGAGGGTGGGGGTAAGGGGGAAAGATCAACCAAAGGACTTATATGCAAGCATATAGGCCTAACCAATGGGCACGGACAATGGGGGGGGGGGGGCTGAGGGCATGGGGGGGGCGGGGGTAGGGGGTAACGTGGGGATAAGGACACATATGTAATATCTTAATCAATAAAAAATATATTTGAAAAAAAAAAGCCAAGCAATTTGGGAACAGAACTTTAAAGTCTGAGCTTCTGGACCCACATGTCCCATGGAAAGATGCTCTTGCAACTAGATTCTATATTTTTAAAAATATTGTGCCCTATCTAAAAATATTGTCCTGAGGAATCTTTCCATACAGAGTAATAACAGAAGAAATATGGAACCTAGGAGTTACCACAAATTAATGATGTTCTCACAAAGGAGACTTAAACAACAAATCAAATATACGAAGGGGTTCTAGAACTTATTTACTTCTCAGATATTTAGATGCTACACTTAGATGTTCCGAGCCTCCCGCGTGCCAGGAGCTGGGAAAAGGAGTTAAGCAACTACACGGTTGTTATTTCTGCTTCCCTCTTTATCTGTCTTTCCAGCTATTCCATTATAATTATGTCATCCAAGTCTCCCAGACCCCAACGAGGTCCAGCGAGATAAAAAGACTCACCCAGGTCAAGTAGCTAACCGTGGCAGAGTGAGGACCACAACTGCATCTTCCGCCTGCACATCCAATGCGCTTTCCCCGACACAGCTGCAGCTCTGAGAGCCCAGGACCTAAATAAAGTCCATGAGAAAGTCTTTAATTGCTGCAAGGGAACTACTCATAAAATGCTGAGGCTCCACACCCATGTTCAGAGCAGCAGCATTTGCAACAGCTAAATGGTGGAGGCAAGCTAAGGGTGTAGGGATGGATGAATGGATAAATAAAATGTGGTAGCTACACACAATGGATGACTATTCAGCCTTAAAAAGGAAGGACATTCTGACACATGCTACAATATGGATAAACCTTGAAGACATGCTAACAGAAAAAGACAGCCTGACGAGGACAAATAGTATGATTCCACTTACAGAGAAGTATCTAAAGTAGACAAATTCATAGGGACAGAGTAGAATGGTGGTTGCCAGGGGCAATAGGGAGGGAGAAATAGAGAGTTATTGTTCAGTGGGCACAGAATTTCAGCTTGGGAAGATGAAGAGTTTTGTGCATGCAGATGGTGGTGGCGGTTGCACAACCATGTGAAGGTACTTAATGCCTCTGAACTCTACGCTAAAAAGTGGCTAAAATGGCAAGTTTTATGTTATGTGTGTTTTACTGCAATTTTTTTTTTTAATTAAAAAGAAAAAATGCTGAGACTCCTCTAATACCAGCTC